TGTCTCCTTATTTTGCCTTTTCCTGAATGACATGTACAGTAGTGCCCCCTTCCCCACGGTTTCAGTTATTGCTGCAGTTCACACGTAGATGAGTATTGTACAGTAACATACTTTGAGAGAGAGAGAGACCTCGTTCACATACCTTTTATCACACTGTAATTGTTAGGTGTTGTGTTTTATTAGTTACTGTTGTTAATCTCTTACTGTGCCTAATTTGTAAAGTTTATTATAGGTATGTGTGCATAGGAAAAATGTATAATTGGGTTTGGTGTGATCCTCAGTTTCAGGCGTCCACTGGGAGTCTTGGGACATATCAGTATATCTTCTATGGATAAGGAGGGACGACTGTAGTTGGAATCACACAGTATGTAGCCTTTTCAGATAGACTTCTTTTGCTTAGCTATGTGCATTTAAGGTTTTTCATGTCTTTTTGTGGCTTGATAGCTCATTTCTTTCTATCGGTGAGCAATATTCCATTGTCTAGATGTACCACAGTTTGTGTCTTGATTCACCTACCGATTATGAATAAAGCTGCTATAAACATTGGTGTGCAAGTTTTTTGTTGTTGTTGTTTTTTGAGACAGAGTCTCACTCTGTTGCCCTTAGTAGAGTGCTGTGGCGTCAGCCTAGTTCACAGCAACCTCAAACTTCTGGGTTCAAGCGATCCTCCTGCCTCAGCCTCCCAAGTAGCTGGGACTACAGGTGCCCACCACGACGCTGGGCTAATTTTTCTACTTTTAGTAGAGACGAGGTCTCGCTCTTGCTCAGGCTGGTCTCAAACTCCTGAGCTCAAGCAGTCTTCCCTCCTCGGCCTCCCAGAGTGCTAGGATTACAGGCATGAGCCACTGCACCCGGCCAGTGTGCAAGTTTTTGAGTACACATGAGTTTTCAACTCACTTGGGTAAATACCAAGGAGCATGATTGCTGAATCATATGATAGGAGTATGTTTAGTTTTATAAGAAACCACCGAACTGTCTCCCAAAATGGCTGTACTGTTCTGCATTCCCACCAGCAATCAATGAGAGTTCCTGGTGCTCCGTATCTTCACCAGCATTTAGTGTTGTCAGTGTTTTGAATTTTAGCTATTCTAGTAGATATGAGAATGGTATCTCACTGTTGTTTTAATTTGTAGTTCCCTGATGACATATGATGTGGAGGATCTTTTCATATGCTTATTTTCCATCAGTATATCTTCTTTGGGAAGATGTCCGTTCAGACATTTTGCCCATTTTTTAATTGTGGTATTTTCTGATTGTCAAATTTTAAGACTTCTTTGTATATCTTGGGTACCAGTTCTCCATCAGATCTATATTTTGCCAATATTTTCTCCCAGTTTGTGGCTTGTCTTTTCATTCTCTTTACATTCTCTTTTGGCTGCAACTTTTCCTAACACTCAACAATTTTATGAATCAATTTGGAATTTTTTTGAATTAAAGAAAAAATTTAATTAAGAATGAAACTTATTTAAATTGCTTGGGGATGTACCATTCTTAGGTAATTTCATTTAAAGGCTTCCCAACTGTTGGGCGATAGTATTCCTATTTACTCTCTCAGAAACAGAAATGCAATTTGCTAGTCGAAATTTCAGGAAGAAGGCAGGGCACCTTTGGTTTGTTACTCTAGGAAAGTAAAACCAACTTTCCTAGCATAACAGTATTTCCTAGTGCAATAGTATACATGAACTGTGAATGCCTTTGAGTCAGAGATCACTTATCTCAGGAAGAGCTACAACAAGACTAAATACTCCTAGTTTTCTCTGATTGGGTAAATTAGCCATTAGTTTAGATTACCTCTGTTGGTTTTTTAAAAAATTTACTCAATTCTTGACTCATAGTGGCTATATCTAACCACACCCCATGACCGTAGGTACCTAGATTTGATCACTTAATGAACAGCATGTCTTTGGGAACCATAATAGTTAACACAATTTCTTCAAAATTTCCAATCTAATAGTTGAGCTTTATTCGTATGTTAAATGTTCTTACCTACGGATACATGCAAATGTCAACAAGTAGAAACAATTGACTTGAAAAGTTGAATAATGTGCTAGAAAAAAAAATCGTCTGAGTTAAAAGAATCCAGAGTGTTTTAGAGTTGGGAGAGATTGCAGAGGGGATCCAGTCCAGGGCTAGAAAATAGTTTCCTGTCGTGTCCCAGCTCCATTCATTAGCAGCATCTGTCTCATGGCAATGAGACCTGGCACATGGGAGAGAGGCTTCAGTTCTTTAGTAGTAATAGTTTGCCCTAAGCAAAGGGAGGCCCAGTTACAGCCTCAAGCCTGTAATCACCTTGCCCAGTAGTTTTACATCCTCACTCAAGGGTGAGACAACGGAGGTGCAAATAATTTAAAAGCTTTTTCCAGAGTTACCCACCTCACTGGTGGTTGTGCTGACACTTAGCAGGTCAGAATTTCGTTGTTTCCATTCCCTATAAACATCCACAGTTGTTTCTGGACAACTGGTCTCAGCTCTTAGGGCCAGAAAAAAAAAATCTCTAGTGTGGACCACTATGTCTTACAAACAAGTGTTTAAAATATTCAGTAAGAAAAGATCTGGTCTACTCAAGAGAAAGATCGACATCATTAATAGAAATCAAATTGTGAGAAGCCGTGAACTCGGGAGCCAGTTAGCATAACAGTTTGTGCTTGAACTAATCCACGCCGCCTGTTAGGCACAGGGAAGGACCCAGCAGCCAGAAGACAGTTGACAGAAAGAGACCAGGCCTGGCTGCAGCCTGTTCAGGAAGGATCCCCTGTTGAGGGCTGCTGGGGTCTGTTGGATCAGAAGATACAGGAAGCACAGAGTCAAGCAAAACCTTGTCGAGGAAAGTTTTTGTATTTGCGTTTGTTCGGTTTTTGTTTATTCATCAAAAAGGATTTGACTGGACCCTGATGTGTATTTTTGTGTGTTATGTGTTCTAACTAAAGTTATTAGGTAATAAGCAAGTAATTGATATCTAAAGAAAGAGGACTTGTTAATTATCAAGCTGCTTCATTGTGCCACCAGGAGTTGACTCTACGTTAGTTATTCTGCCATTTGTCAGCCACCAGGCTATAACAATAACTGACATTTATGGAGTGCTTGATATGTGCCTCCACTGGACCAAATTTGAACACATTATTTTAATGTCAGCCATTGCAGAGAAGTAGGATAGTGTCACACCCATTTTACAGAGGGAAAGAGCAGAGGTTCATGTAGTTGCAAGGGACATACTGTACATTGAAACCCAGGTTTTTCTGATTCTAAAGCCAGTGCCCAGAGTCATTACATAAGACTGCCACTGTCATTCACCTTCTTTGAACCTCTGTTCTTATCCGGTATTATTACATTGATAATATGAATAGAAGCATCTGAAGAACCAGGCTTTTATGAAAAATTTTATAATTTTTAAAGCATTATTCAGAAATGATACGCTGTTATTTATAAATAAAAGATTTAGGCTGGGCAGGGTGGCACATACCTGTAATCCTAGCACTCTGGGAGGCCCACGAGGGAGGATTGCTTGAGGTCAGATGTTCCAGACCAGCCTGAGCAAGAGCAAGACCCCGTCCCTACTAAAAATGGAAAAAATTAGCCAGGCGTGTTGGTGCACACCTGTAGTCACAGCTGCTCAGGAGCCTGCGGCAAGAGGATTGTTTAGCCCAGGAGTTGGAGGTTGCAGTGAGCTCTGATGACACCACTGCTCTCTAGCCAGGGCAACAGAGAGAGGCTCTGTCTCAAAAAAAAGAAAAAAGATTTAAACCAGTAAGCAGGCATTTCATTGTTGTAATATTTATTCATAGCCAATAAGCAATGTTATTATGTAGTTTTACTAACAAATAATTTATTTTCATCCTTTATGGAACTGTTTTTTCCAAATATATCATTGATTATTTAGCTGGCTACAATTTAGACTTGACTTCCCTATCATAAATTTACCTTTTTTCCTAAATAGTCATGCTCGAGGGGACCAAGTAATTGCTTTCAACATAATTATGGCTACACAGTAACACACCACTAATGGGTCTTTTGAATGCTTATGATTTTGGCATGGACATAGTTTATCAATTTTCATATTTCTCATTGTTGCTATATTAAATCCTAAGGACAAATATGCTTAATGTATTAGATGTAAAATATCAGTACCATACAAACAAAAAGTAGTTTAGCTTATTTGTTGCCAGTTAATTCCTCACAAACTCCAAGGCTATGTTTAAAGACCCTTGGAAGGATTAGGTGAAAAAATGATAGTGTAGCACAATTAGCTGATGGATTTTCTTTCCCCAAATAAATACCTTTTTCCTTTCTCCACGTTCCTGCTTAATGGTCAAAACTATAGCATATATATCTTATATTTATGTATGATAACTAAAATCCTTAAACTTAATATTTTTGTTATGTTTAATAAGGATTTGCTCGAAAAGAAATTGAAAAATTTCTTGGTACAAAGCTGAAATCTGTGGCAAAAAGACAAAACAAAAATAAACTAATGAAGTTAGTTTAATGGATTTTAGAAAGTGATCCTTAGAATTTCTTAGTAAGGAATTGGAATAGAAAGTTTTAAGCGAAATTCTGCCTAAGACAAGGAACAGGGTTCATTCTTCTCAGGCTCAGGATTTTACAACATGGACAACTGAGTTAGGGCGCCGTGAAACACGGTGTTGTCGGTCCTTTACTCTCCCTTTCACTGTCAGGATTTTTATATTTCACAAAATATTTGATGCTTCCAAGTGTCACATTATTTTCCCCAGCTGCTTCTATTTAGAAGTCATCTACCAGTCCCCTGAACATACTCAGTGGCACTGTTAATATTTTGTTTCTGTCTGTTTATTTGTAGGGGTGGGCTTTTGTAGGTTGAGGTTCATTTTTTTGAGCCTTTTAGCTGGTTAAACAGGAGATGGCAAAGTGATCACACTTGTCGGTTACAGCAAGGAATGCTTTAAATTTTACCCAATTTTATTTATGGCAATTGGGCGAACCTTTTTATGTGTTGACTCGTTTTTCTCTTCTGTTTTCCACAGAAACGCTCCAGAGGGCAAGTGCTGTTTGATAAAGTGTGCGAACACTTGAACTTGCTAGAAAAAGACTACTTTGGGCTTACATATCGAGATGCTGAAAACCAGAAGGTGAGAGATCAAAAGCAACACAAAATATAATGGCGCGAACTGCTCGTTGCTGTGAACTAAGGCCGAAGAGGAGAGTCATTTTCTCCACCTCTCTTCACACAGCCGCATTTACTACCCTGAGTCCCTCAATACTGTTAATCACCTATTTCTTCATGAAGCAAATCATTGACAACTTCCTTTAATCTCGAATATTCCAGAAACAATAAGTGAGCTCTTCTTTTTTTTCCTGTTAGAGTTAGTTGTGGTTCCAGGAAAGCATTTTATATGATGCTTTTTTTTTTTTTGGTATAGTATATTTCAGTAGATTATTTGAACCAATGAACATCATGTTCATACCTCAGAATTCTGTGAAGATGTTATGGTTGTAACAAACGGTCAGGGCAGTTGACTGCTGATGCTGCGGACATTCTGAATTCATCTTACGTTTTCGTATTCTTACTGAATCCGAATATGAGATGTGTCATTTGCTCTCCTGATACTTGTCTAATGCACTCAGTAGACGTTTCATGTTTAATGCAATACTTCCGTAGACTCTTACCCTGAGTGCTGCAGTTGTAGAGTGACTGCACCTCACTCTGATCCCCACAACTACCTGAGAAATACAGAAGAGGAAATTGTTTCCATTGTGTTGGTGCTGGAAGCTGAGTCACAGATATTTTGCTCGTAGGTGTTATTTGTTTTGGTGTTGTGCCATGAGGCATACGTAATACCTACTAAATTCACCAGACACCGTCTATCTTCATTATTAAACATCCGATTTTTTCTGATGACAAAAAATGTAAATCACAAGTATTCATTCATTTGGGAAATTTTCTCAGTAGATATGATCTATAATCACAGAAATCACTAATGTGGAACTGAATGGAACCTGCAGCCTTGGGGCCACAGGTGACCTTCCAGATCCTTGAGTTCACCCTTTTGACCGAATCCAAACTTCACCGAAGAAATCCCTTTATTAAAATCCTTTAGTAAAAGGATTTGTTCCGTGAAGTTTGGATTCGGTCCAGGGGCCACACTTGGGGATCTGGAGGGCCATATGGGTTCCCCACCCCTGGAGCACATCAGTGTGTCAACTTATATGTATCTTTAATTTATCCTAGTAACTTGGTTGAACATAGAATCTTCTGCCAGTTTTTCTCCTCTGTTTCTGTGCTCACTTGAATCCCTGAAGGAAATGGTTGTTAAAAAAAAAATTTTCTTTTTGTCAAGCACAAACTGCACACACATGTGTTTTCTCATTGGAACAGCACCAGGGCCTCAGAGGTTTGGGGTGGAGGGGGGTACCAGGGGTGGGGGACAGACCACAGTGAGGAGAGCGTTCCCACAACCGCTCACTCTCCACTATATGTTGAGGGCATGTCTGTACCTAATCAACATTAAGGCATTTTTATTATTCTCTGATTCAAACTCAAAATGTCATTTCCTTTTCAGAACTGGTTGGACCCTGCTAAAGAAATAAAAAAACAGATTCGAAGTAAGTTCATTTGGATTATTTTATGTGGTAATGTGAAGATTTTGAGAGAACAAAGTTGTCTGAGTTGGTGGCCCATACTCAAGTGGCTAGTGTGACTACAAAGTTTTTTATCACAAATTGAATCTGGCAGGTTGGTCTAGTTCAGGTAGTACCCATGTTTAATCATCACAACCTGGGAGTTAAAATGACTATCACACTTATTACTCCCCTGCCTGTACGTAGATGTGAAATATATGATTTAACCAACTGATGTTCCATTTGGCAATTAACCATTTAAAAGTTCCAAATTTAATTATTAATGTTGTATTAAGCCTAATTATTTTTCACATATTCAGATTAGCAAAGATTTTAAAATTTTAATAATAAACTATGGCAACTGCATACCCAAGTGGTATAAGAATAAGTTGATGTAACCCTTGATGAGGACAATTTGTCAATATTTATTAAAATTTAAGATGTACTTATTCTTTGACCCTTCATTTTGCTAGTGGAAATTTGTTCAGCGTAGGTATTCAGAAAATGTGCGTGCGTACAGGCACATGGAAGCTCATTGTAATACTGTTGCGACAGCAGAAAGCGAGAAGCAACTTAAATGTCCGTTTATGAAGAAAGGATTAAATTAATCATAGAATAGCCGTATAAATGTGTCCTAGCTCTCCTTAGTGAAAATCAGGTTGCAGAATATTATCTAACATTCTCATTTGTTTTTAAAAAGTTTATATAGATGCATGGAAATCTTTTGGAAGACATGAAAGATACTAACAGTAATTATTCCAGAAGTAGCATGCAGTGTAGAGGGTTGAGAAAGAGGAGTTTTTTTAATTTTATTTTTTACCCTTCACAGTAGCTCCTATTTTTACCATAAACATGGATAATCTTTATAATTTTAAATAGCTAGTTAATTTTTAATTCATATTTTTATCGGTAAAATCTAAATTAATTATTCTGGACAACTAATTCTAACTAAAGAATAAATTTAAG